AAGCACTTCATTTGTCAGGCTTTATTCTTGTTAAGTTTTGCTGACTTTGTATAGGAATCAAAGCAGAAAAGAGTATAGTTTTAGACAAAACTCAACATGCTGTATACTATAGACCGATCAAATGAAGTTTCTTGCACAAGTCTCTTCGAGTTGAAAAACAAGTTTTTCAGAAAACTGGGCCTGCCAAGTGCTATTAGCAAAATCCATAATGACACTGGGAATCAGCGCACTCAATTACCTAGGACTTACTAGGTTTCACCTCAAAAACAATATGATTCTTGGGAATGTTTCCTCGTGAGGCCAAAAGAGAGAAAGATACGACGTAGAAATTCAACCATATATCACTCTTACAGACAAGCTAAGACCAATCTCCTATAACGTGCTCTACTTTATCTGAATTGCTATAGTTCTTTGAACTTTGCCGTATTTACTGAATTTCGATAGTATCTTGTTATTTCAGAGTCGCTTGGATTACTAGAGTTATTATGTGTATTATATTCCGTGAGTTCTTTGAGTATTATTTGCAATCACATAGCTTTTTGGATCTTATGACTTTCCCAGGCTCCAGTTATTTCTAGAGTTCTTTGCGTTCTGTCGATCAGGAGAATTCTAAAATATGTCATCGTGCATCATTGTATTACATTACTTCGTGTGGTAACATTAAAGTTTCAAATGTCTTCAAGAATTTCAAATTCATAAAATTCAATCACCGATGTTTTAATTGGTCTATTCAAATATAAAAATGTAATATCTTGAATTGATTCAGTTAAAGACAGCTATATTTTGTTTTGTATTCATCCTAATCACTTATAATTGTTATTTCATGAGTCTAAGCCAGAGATAACATGTCTTTTTAGTTTCTTTACTGGAGTGGAGAAGATCGCTTCTTGAATATTAAGAACATCAGGGCTGGTCCAATCGAAAGTACAGGGTGACATCGCCTAATAATTGAAAAATTTTCTTATTTTTAGCAGTTAAAACTTCAAATAAAATTCCATATCAAAATTAAAATAAGTTAGAATTAGTCTAGATTTCAACATAGACTCTCAACCATAAGAAATCTTATTATGTTGCGTTTAAATTCTCGTTGTTTTGATCAGAAATCTGTGTGAAAAATACTTATCCTAAAAGTTTGTCAGGCTGAGTTCAATCAAATTTTTGATCGCCTAAAGTTATTCCTGAAACTGCCACAAATCATGACTTGATTTTGTTGCTAAAATTATATATAATTTGTTGATACATAGTTTTCATATTTTATTTTTTTATATGACTTATGTTTATGTTCATATGTTGTTTTTATATTACGTTGATAATCTCATACAAAGAGATAACAACAAGAAAAACTTGAAAATACTTTTAGAAGAATATTTTTTTTAGGTTTATTTATGGCGCCCTGTATTTGCTAGGTCTAAATTTTTATATTTTGAATTGAAGAAAAATTTATGATTGATTTTTAAATTGCAAAAAACTTGTTTAACTATATTCTTTTTTTTTTCTCACTTATTGTGATACCATATCTAAATTTTTCTAAATCGATATACAGCCACTCTATAATGATTAATAATGAACCATCACGAAAAACCATATTAAAACAATCATTTTCAAATACTTATATATCAAATCATCAAAATATTTCGTCTCTATTGCAACACTATGATTCTACTCATTCATTACCAACTGTACTCAAAGAAAAGGCATTGTTTGAACAATTTATATTACAAGAGAAAAATAACTTACAATTATTTCCTTCATTTAAAAAAACAAGCAAAATCTATGATGATGTAAAAGATATGAAGAAAACATTAAAGCTTTCTCATGTATTACCATATAATAAACCAAACTATAATTATTTGGCATTGAATAATTCAAAGATAATTGATGATGACAAAACGACAAGATATATAGCTCGTTCGTCAAATGTTACATTCAACACGTTATCGACTATATCAGATATGAGAAAATCAAAACCTAAAACTGACGTTATCAAATATAATGCGATAGGCATTATTGGTGCCAACATAGAGAATCGCATGCATTCCATCGAAAGTCGTATTAGTTATATGAATAATAATCAAACTAAAGCCACTCCTTGTGTTATGCTACAGCATGATACACATATCAATCAAAAGATTTTATCTTTGCAAAAAGAATATGACAAAATTACGGAATATCATGAACAGCAAAAGAAAGTATAATGAAATTTTTTTTTTTGAACAAAAATATTGGTCTATTAAATAACGTAAGAGTCAGCTTCAACAAAATAATAGCATAATTATTAATATTTCAATCATAGACTAGGAGAAATTCGAATCGACTCTCATATATGTGAGCGTTTTTCGAAGATATTTGAAGGACTTGATAATATATTGCTTGAAAGTTTCATGTTGAAGAAACTGAATTAGACAAAGCTTCATTTTGGTGACGAAAATACGATAATTTTACTAGATTGAAAATTTTCGTTTTACAACAACAACTTTCTTTCATTCTATTAGACATTATATTTATCATACATCAATCAATGCAGAGTTCTCAAAAATACTATTGAATGGCATATAATTCGTGTTGAGCTAACTATTTTATAGATGCCTAAATTTTTACATGAACCTGAAAAGCTAGTTTCTAGATAATAATGTTTATGATGATTTGTTATATACCGATCAATACAGAGGCTCGAGTTTTGTCGAGTGGCAATTGACTGCATGAAAGTCTTTGCATAAAAAAATCGCTTCGAAATGTCTAGTGTGTTCTATCATAAACTAGTTGAACTTATTTCATTAGAAGTCGAACTACTAAAACTTGCAGAAAATAAATTAAGAATGCCGATAGCTTCACACAAAACTGTACTATACTTATAAGAACTCAAGGTTCTGCATTAATTGAAACACAATCGCATGAAGATCTATATTCTTAACAAAACTACATCGTCTTACGGAGTCTAATTCGATTTGTCAAGATTCTAATAAATTTAGCCATTATCAGGTGGCTAATTTTACATCGATTATCGATGGATGATTGTAGATAAATGTGCTGAGATCACACATGCTTTATTTGTAGAACATATGGACTATGTGTGAGATAGCAAATTACCCTCTAATGAGGAACTAATCATCAGATGATCATGGTTGAATGATAGGAAGAATCCTATTAAGGTAGCATGTAGAGAAAAAATGTAGAAAACCTTTTAAAGAAAAAAACTAAATACATGTGACATAAAGGAAAAAAAAAATTTGAATATATGTGATAAACAGGAATAGAAAAGGCCAACCATATAATGATGTATACGAGAAAGGACAGACAATAAGAGAACAAAAGAATAGTATCAATAAATAAGAAAGAAAACAACAAAAAATAGGAATGTAACATGAAAGACAATGTATCTCTGTCAATTACCATCTAATGCTATCTATGATTTTAAATCACGCACGTGGATCACATATTAATCGATAGCCTTGAAAAAAATCGTTAATTGATGGATAGTTTTGAAGATGGTTGATGTGTCCCAATAAATCATTATAGATGAAACTGTCTAAAATTCAGTCTTGTCATTAAAATTTCTATATATAACACAGCTCATTACTTTTTCATGTCAGGTGTCTAAAACTACACATATATAAAATAAAGCATATAAGGTTGTTGTTTTGATCGTCTACGCATCATTAAATATATGCATGCTGATTGACTAAAAGTAATTATGTAAACTAATTCAGCAGAACTTTATTGATGAGAGTAACGTCATGTAAAATAAATGATGATTAAATATAGAAGTTTTGTCATTCAGAAAAGACACGGAAAATGTTACTAGCATATTATTAGATGTTTCGAGAATATGAAACTCTTCATATCATCGATTTCACATTGGCCTAATAAGATCTTCAATTTAACGCTGTTGGTTATTTTCAATCAGAGTAACATTAAGTCTTAATTAATATGTCTGAAATGTTCTTTATGTAATGCATATTAAAAATAAAATACCTGTCTTCTAACTATTTATTTACCATTCTGTTATGCTCATACACTACGTATAAGCAATTCAATCGAATATAATGACATGGTATGTTTTCGTATGTCTATTTTTGCTAGATTATTTCTCTACTAGTTCTTGATCGAAAACATACTGACAGATCGTTCGATGATCCTCAAGAAATCTTTGAATGAAGCTCATCTTCTGCTATAAATTTTAGTTACATGACTCACCAGATAAAAAAGTTGAACTTGACATCAACACAACATCAACACTCGGTTTTATGTCAACATCTAATTGGAATGACGTGCATCAAGTAGAAATAAATGATAGCATTGATATTTCAACAGAACTATTAGATAATCCAGATTTTTCATCAAAGTTATTTTTAAATCAAAATAATAATGTACTCGCATTCTACAATCGAACAATAATGAACAATAGTGAGTACCTGTGTACATAGTTACCGATTAGACGAGAGATGATAGGAACTTTGACTTCCCAAAAACTTCGACTGTTTCTTATCGTTTCGAAGGAAATTGTGACACAAAGAGAGATTTAGCGATTTTATGTCTTTTTCTGATAGAAATATTCATAGGAAGACGCTTTTCCTCTAGACAAAATATCATAGAAAGTCGATGATTTCAACGTTTTTTGATCTATTTCTGCTAGAGAGACGAACAAAGACACTTTGCCTTTTCGAATTTTCATTATTTCTTAGTCTTGAAAACAATTGGGAACCATGTCTGTGTGTATAAAAATAGTTTTCTTTATCTTTGACCTAGTACTTAACAAATCATCAAATAGTATTGGATTAAATGATACGGCATTTGATAAAGAAACTAATATATATAACATAGTCCATTTATCACCGAAACAAATAGAAAAATCTGAAAATCAACAAGCATCAATTCCCAGTAGGCATGAACGTTCAAAATCTATTATCGAGAAAAAAGTTACTAGAAGTGAAGATAAAACTATCGGCTGTTGTTGCTTAACCAAAAGTAAGAGCAAGATGAATCATGATACAACTAACCATATGAAAATTCTAACAACATCAACGAAGCATGAAAATTTTGATACAAGTGTCCCATCTAAACTTAACAATAAAATGACCATCAATACTCCTATAATCAAAAATTTACCTGTACAAAATATATTAACAACTCCATTGAAAAATATTCAAACACCTGTAACATCAATTGGACATATCGACATGAAAGATTCATCATCAAATACAACTGAGTTAGTTCAATCAATATTTTTTCAAATTTACTATATTCAATTTTAGAATAAACATAGATCATCAATCTGTTATGCTTAATTCGTCATTAACAGATTATATTTGTCGTAAAAGTGAATCTTCAATAGATTTGAAAAATTTATTGATGGAATCAAACGAAAATAAATCATTACTTCCATTACATTCACGATATCTCGTCTCCTTCGAATTTGCTAATCGAGAAGAACATTTAGTTGAAGTTGCTGAACTTGAACGTTCATTTTATCGAGTTTCACGTATAAATATATATAAAAAAGTACGTGAACGTTTAGCTATAATGAAGCTAATTGATATTGATTTAACAAATTTATTACGAGCTATTTTACAATCTTTTCCATAGCTAAATATAACTTTTACATTAAAACAAATATTCACTCAATCAAAATGTAATTCGTAAATAATTATCAAGTCGAAAATAAAAAAACAAATAGTTATTTTAAAAAAATTCTAGTATCAACGTGAAATGAAGAGTCTAGATTGTTGTGTTGACCTCAATAAATGCCAAATTCATAATTGAAGAAGAAATATTTTTCTTATAAAAAATAAAGAAAATTGATCAAAATATCGGTACTAGTAGAATCAATACATACTGATATTAGCCAACTTGTGCAACAATATAAGAAAATGGAAAAAAAAGAAAAAAAAATAGATCTCGAATAAAAGTTAAGCTACATAGATCGGTATTAATAGAACAACACGGACACTTTTCATACTGATTAAAAGCTTTCAAATCACTAGGAATTAATAAACATACAAAAATATTAACAAACGACTCATACATGTAAAGTGAAACCCATATCTAAACAGCGAGAAAATATTGAAAATCTTGAATGTAGATACTTGAAGCAAAACGATAGAAACTTTTCTGTTGTAGTTTCCAAATGAATCCGGGTAATAAGCTTAAGTATCTATTCATCCTCAACAACGAATCAACTGCCAATCCATTGAAATAAATTGTATACATTTGTGCTTCTATAATTTGTAGTAACAGCAGTCGGTCATTCGTTACCTTTTGACATAATAATACATATACATATTTTTGTCTTTCTCTTTATTTCGTATTTTTTACACATATACTTATAAACGCACGTCCTTTTTCTTAGTCGGGATGTGTGTGTGCATCCAAAAGGCAGAAGCATATAACACGAGAGTACTCTCAATTACTATAATTTTCCTCTCGATTTTTCATCTTATCTATTTTGTACATGGTGATCTTCATCTAACACTGAAACGTAAGAGTATTCAATCTAATCGAGTAATAAACAAACTGCTACGCCATTGCCTCGATTATTCTTGGAATTAGTAGATTTTTTCGACCAGATCTGATTGGTTGGTGACTATTTGGTTGAAGTTTCTCATTTAATCGGAAAAAAACCGGTGGTTAGCTGCTGTCTACTGTGCGGTCAATCTTGACACTAACTGCAACTCTGCAATTAGTTCTTCTCTATAATTGTCACTGCATGGAAGTTTTTAACTCTCAGATAAATATTAGATCGAAGGGAACATCACGAAGTCTGTAGAAGATAACCGTGCTCAAACCACTAGTATCAGTAACATTGACTGTTTTCGTTTAGTTTTCGAATTTGATTGTTTACTAAAGATGGCGTCATTAAAAAAAATCATCATTAGTCAAAAGACTCGAGCAATAAGAAAAAAACCAAGGTGTGTCATGTAACACAAGTAACGTAACGTCTTAAAGTCGACTTTTTTCACCATAGTAATCCATTTATTCAAGACAGAGAGTATATATTTACTAAAAAAATTAACATAAACTTAATAAAAAAAAAAAAGATTAATCCATTTGAACTGTTGGTTTTGATGAATAATTGGCGACATCGATTTCTAGTAGAAATTTAATACAACTATTTTTTTGAAATATACATAAATATTTTATCAACAAAAAGAATACAAGAACAACTATTGACTAAAACTAAAACACAAATCATTTTTTATTGCGTACATTGATTAGTTCAAATCTGAAACTACAATATAGTTTAGAACTTCCTTTTTTGTTTGTTAATCATGGTTTTTTCCGACTTCCAACCTATACAGCTCTGCATGCTCATGTGAGTTGTTTTTGTTGACGAAAGAGGTATGCGTCATTCGTGTTGACTTGAAGTAGCAAAAATGAATCAACAAAATATTTTTTTTTCTTCAACGCTTGAAAATTCTGATTCATTTGAAACACATGCTATTTCAACTTGGTTTTTTCCAAGATTTTGTGTTTTTTTATTATTTAAACACATAATAACGACTTCATTTCAGGCCAGTTAGTTCTACGACAAATAATGAATGATATTTCCGACAATCAAACACTTTCACTTATCCGGCTCGATGATTCTAATAGTGCATCCCAAGAAAATGTTATCATTCAACAACAATTGCAGCTTCTTGATAGTAATTTTAAAATGTTCCAAACTATAAATAATTGTAAAGAACATATTCAATCTCAAACTGCAGATGCTCATATTACATTAATTGTTAATGGTAGATTAGGTCAAAAAATAGTACCTGAGATCCATGATCTACCACAAATTATTGCCGTCTATGTATACTGTATGAATCTAGCAGAACACAAAAAATGGGCCTTAAATTTTGCCAAGGTATTTTATGATGACGTGTTTATTGATTAAGAAAATGGAATTGATAAACGTAGAAGATTTTACATCATATTCGATATAAGTTAAATTAGATTTCTATGGTAAAAAAAGGAAATGCATTAACTATGAGTGATCTATTGCATATACCATCTAATCGAGAATGTCGAGAAATTAGAACTATGAATTAGTTTCTTTTCTTAAACATAATCAATTTCGTTGTTTTAGGTCAAAGGTGTTTTCGTACATTTTGATGAGCTTAGAGGACATCTTCAACCAAGCCAAACTGATACAAATCAACATTCCATAGTCAGTGAATTACCTACAACGGATACTTCAACAAGAAAAGCTATACAACTTGAATCATCGTATGACTTAGATTGTTGTTATATGATTTCTGACACTTGTTTCGATTGTTTTACTCGAATGAACACGGATCTGACAGAAAAAGACGCTTTTGTTTCTTTATATCAGGATGCATCGCAAACAAATGACAAGTTATTACCAATTCTTCAGGAATTTCAAGAAGGTTATCATCCTGAGAAAGCTATATTTTGGCTTTATAGAGATCCAATTTTTTACACATTGATAGATAATATGTTCAAAGTAGCCTATATAGATGCGATGGTATGTTCTCGATTTTTTATACATGATATTCACAAACAACTTGAACTACATAAATGTACATCGACTATTGAAGTATATAAAAGTGAAATAATATCAAAAGAAAAGTTTCAACAATTAAACAATTGTAACGGAAAAGTTATTGCAATGAAATCGTTTTTGTTGGCAAGTACGGATTGTAATGCATCATCTTTAGATACGCCGGATATAACTTCATCGAACGAATATCAACGTATATTATTCATAATTGAAGCAAATCCACAAATTGAAAATGTTAAACCATTTGCTAAAATTGGTTCATTAATTAATGAAAAAGATTCAAATGCTGTACTCTTTATGATCGGATCACTGTTTAAAATTACTGAAATTCAAAATGAACAAAATGGTGTAATAAATATTAAAATGTCATTATGTGGAAATGATAGTGAGAATAATATAAAATCATTATTTGATCAATTAAAACACAAATATATTAATGATAAAGGAGAAATGGATGCTATTGGATTTGGTCAATTAGTATTTGGAATGGGTCAGTCATTAGGTAATGGAAATCTATCGGATAGTGGAGAAAAATATATTTGTTCCTATATGGAGAAATTACCAAACGATCATCCAGATCGTCTTCGTTGTTATGATGCATTAGGAAATATAGATTTAATCAAAGGTAATTTGGATTCAAGTCTCAATTGGTTTAAAAAAACATTTGATATGAAAAAAGAAAAATTACAACCAAATGATCCAGATCTTGCTGAAAGTTATAAAAATATGGCATTAGTTGCTTTCAATCAAAAGGCTTATACGCAAGCGCTAGTTTATTTTAATCAATATTTAGAACTTTTACAGCAATTATCTGGTGATAATCACATTGGTCTTACACTTTGTTATACTTATATGGCGAATATACATGAAAATGAACAAAGATTTTCGGAAGCTGCTTCATATTATCATCAAGCTTTAGCTATTATGATAAAATATAATTTCAATGATGTCTCGAGTTTTGCTGTAGTATACAATAATCTTGGTAAAATATATACTATTCTGGGAAACTATCATCTTGCATTGGGATATTACAAAACATCACTTGAAATGAAATTAAAATCTCTTCCACCTGTACATCCATCAGTAGCAATAACATACAAAAATATTGGAGTGGTTTATGAAGGTATAAATGATATTCAACAAGCTCGAGAAAATTTCGAAAAAGCCCTGAATATTTATCGTGAATTATATGATCCCCAGAGCTCATGTATTACACAAATAGAAGAAATTATTCGAAATTTACCAACTTTACCTACATAATCTTCCATAAGAGCAAAACCAAATCTTATCTGTGATAGTTTTCTTTTTTTTTTTGTACATACAGTTCTTTTGATAAAATATATATTTTTTCATATTTATATTTATATCGAAACATTCAAAAAAGAAATACAAGAAATTTTTTATTAAAAAAGTTTGTTAGTGCAGCCCTTTTAGAACTGAAACGTAAAACTGACATTTGTTCACACTATACTAGTACAAGATACGTAAAGTTTTAAAAACAGCTATGCTCTAAGATAATCGGTTGCTAGAAAAGCAATCGATCTTATTTATTTCTACATTTTTCACAGAAATTTTTTATTTCCTTTATTGCTATTTGCTTGTAAATTTTCGTTTTTCTTAATTTAACATTACCATTATTCGAATCCTTGATTTAACAGACAAATAAGCGTGTTGTTCATATCCATTGCATCTACAGCAAAGCTTAACACACCATTATTTATTTTGATAAGGTCAGAAACACTAATATTGTTTATTTCTCAAGCTCAAGGGTACATTTTGATCAGTTCACACTTGTTATGTTGACCATATGACCACTGTGACAAATCAATGTATCATTACTTATTAAAAATTTTTATTCAGCACAAAAATAAATGACTGCACGATTGAAAACATTCACATACGTATTCCAGTCATTCAAATTTCGAGAACAATCTAACGAGGAAACTTTTTCGTCGCTTTTGAATTTGGCTTCCGCGCATCAAATAGATTTTAGTGAAATACGAAAAATCTCAACAGGATAAATCGGCCTTGTGTGCAGAGTCATAGGTATTAATTGAAATTATAGTCTCTAACATGGTAAATACCAACAATTTGAGTGGTAGTAGTTAGACCTGCTGTTTTGCCTGCAGATAAATCGATTCGTCAGTATAGTGCTCTGAAAGTATTAGCTTAACAGAAAGTTTCTTTCTCGAAATAATAAAGTCCTAAAAAATCACTCATACACCACGAAAGAATCTCGAATTTTCTGTTTTTCAGTGACTTTCACATCTTGTGAAGGAAATATTCTTTTGAACTGACAAATAGATCTATTTGTGAGCGATGCTTTAGGTCGAAATACCATCATTTGATTTGTTAGTATTTTCCATGCCCAAGGTTAAAATCTCAGTGAAATGCCAATAATTTTGGACAGAAGACCTAAGAGATATTGAAAACATTTTCCCGTAACTCTTGCCGTTCAGTCAGAACTGAGCTGACTAGCTCATATTCGGTGTTTTTTTCCCTTGCTCAAGAACTCAAACATAATCAATGACCAGCACGATTACAAAAAATCTGTTATGGGAAAGGAAGTTGTAAAACTTCGATTTAAAATTTCGACGTAGTATTTTCTTCGAAAATATATGTGAGTTTCACAAAACTTTTTTCAAATCTAAATCCATTCCTGTTAATAATATTCTACTATAAATAGAAGTTAAATATTTTTATTTTTATTGAGTTCTACTCTATATCTATCAATAAAATAAGATCAATAATTGAGATAATTATATAAAAAAAAAAGAAATGTTTAGAATTATTAAAATTTTAAATTTTATCATTTTTATGTGTCCATGTTGGACGTGTTTTTTTAATAAATGACTCAAGTCCATGTTGAGTATCTTTAAGTTCAAGATTTTCAAGCATACCACGTGTTGCTATTTGATAATCATTAAGCAGATCATCTTTTTCATCTTTCATTTGTAAATATTTTTTACCAATAGCAACAACTGATCGGCTATGTGCACAGATTTGTTGAGCAATTTTATTTGTTTCACGTTCTAAATCATTTTCACCAACAACACGACTAACAAGACCATGATCATAAGCTTCTTTTGCTGATATTGGTTCACCAGTAAACAACATTAATGAAGATAATTTTGGATTTGTAATCGATCGACGAACAGCAACAGCTGGTGTAATACAAAATAATCTATTAAAAATAGAATTTTAACCAAAAAAAAACATAATAATAATAAATTTCAATAAATCATTGATATTTACCCATGTTTAACACCAGGAACTGAAAAAGATGCATTTTCACCAGCTACTACAATATCACAACTTGCTACAAGTTGACAACCAGCAGCAGCAGCTAAACCAAATACTTCAGCAATAACAGGAATAGATAATTGACGAACTCTTTCAAAAAATGAAAACAGAAAAAAACAATTGATAATTGTAATTTTATTTTATTTTGATTAAAATATATGATATATACTTTAACATTAGTTCAGTGCATCGATTAAAGACAGAACTACATGCTTTTGTTTTACTTAATTCAGATAATTCTTTAAGACTATGACCAGAACTAAATACAGTTTGATCACCAGCAGTAAGAATAATAACACGTGAACGTTGTTCATTATCTTCAATAGCTTTGATTAAATCATTGATCATTGCAAGTGAAAGAATATTACGTTGACGTGGATTATTTAATTTAATACGACAAATTTGGTCATTATCATTTGTTGATATACTTACTAAACTCGTTGTTGATGAAGCATGACGATGTAAAAGATTTTTATATGGATAATGAAAACAGATAATTCGTCGTAAAAGCATTTATTCTATCTGAAAATTATAAAATTGGAAATAAAATATAAGGAATTTTATTTGTTAGCAAATGATATGCTTCATAAGTAATCGGATAATGTTAGTTTTTGTGAAACACAATCTAAAAAAAAAGTGTTAATGTATTGAGGTAGACACTTGAGCATACTCTTCTTCTTAAAGACAGCGCGATAGGCGTTCTTCATATACGATCAAAGACTGAATAGCAATGACGCCTTGTTTTAAAATATGAATTATTCCATTTTTGGATAATTACGTAGAAAGATAATGAAGAAATATAGTCCAACATACATAGAATAAAGAATTCTCTTGTGAATAGCTACAGCATATACATTTTGTTTCACATTTTAATCACCCAGAATTTATGCTAATAGCTTCTGTACAGGGACGAAAGACAATTTATAAAAGTTCAGACTAAATGATTAGACGTACAATCTTGTGAGATCTTACCGTCTCATTGTTTGACTTGGCAGGCTAATTCAAAAGATGTTTAGAAAAACTTAATAAAAAAATTCACTTTAAATACTCTTTAACTCATGAAAAATCTTTAATAAAACTAAATTTATTCGATTATTAACCACCTTATAAAATTCTCCTCATTTATTCCAATATAAATTGTCGTTGTCACACATGATTTCATATTCCTAGCTTATTACCTATAGTAATATTCTAAAGATGAAACAAAATCTATCACTTCTTCATTGTATTAGTAAATCGATATAATGACAACGCTCAGTGAATATCATTTTTAGTCAATGATGAATGATCTATTCGATGCAGAACAAGGGGAGATAAACATTTTCAAAGAGTATATTAAATCTGAGTAAGAATGGTATGAAAATCAATTAATAAATTTTGACTTCTCTGAAATATTCTCTCATTCGTAGAATCATCAACATTCACAGATGATTGAAATTGTTTCAACAACTTTGTGTTCCATATCCACTATGAATAATATTGATAATCGATTAATTGATAGTGACAAATGTGAATTCAACAGTGACTATTCTTTTTTTTTTATACCATACTGAATTTTCATGAAATGTTTTATTTCATTGACAATATTTGAATGTTCACCTTGAAATGCATGTCAAATCGAATAAGAAGAATATTTTAATGCATTCGACTTTTTCTTCGATGTTCAATTATATGAAATTACTGGTTGGATCGAAAAATCCGATCATATGTCAACGTGATGTAATCATTCAAGACAAAGGTATTTCATCTATTCTCTTACATCAAGTTAATTTTTATGTTTAGCAAACAGTCATACTTACCTGCTCGTTATCATTAATCATTTACCTTGAGTGAGCACGTGTTCATCACCTAAACAAAAAGAACCAAGTTTAGAATGTTTTTCAAAAGTTCTCACTAACGCACGCGTATAAAAGTTACAAAATATAAGAAAGAGAAAACGAACTCTATAGAAACAAAAAAAATAAGCCAATAAACCATATGCATAAGAGCTGAAAAGTTATCCGAATAGTATTGTATTGGAAATCCACAACTACATTGATGAATATTATTAACTTGTAAACCGAATCTACGAAATGAGTAGTTTGAAAATGCCACATTTTTCTTGGACGGTCAGAAAAAACGCATACATCAAGTTACCATTTTATAAAGAGATATTTCAGAATATTTACTGTTTCTACATTAAAAAATCATCCTTTTTCTCTGATAACAGATTTCTTTGTGAAAATATACAATAAATTACTATCAAAAAATTGAAAGCTAATCTCGTTCTTATGAATAAAAATCCAAATAAAAAAAAACAATATTCCATTCATCTACTGCATTGATATTCCCCACACAGAATACACTAAATCTTTGAGAGAATATGCAAGCTCAACGTATTTTTCATAACATATATTCTCTTCTTAAACATAAATATAATATTTAATAATTAATTATTAAAAGAAGATCTTAAACTTATTTATATCAGTGAGTACAAATTCTTAACACCCTTATCAAATTTACTTGATGATTATTATCAATATCATAGTTAGTTGTCTTTGCAAGAATAAATCTTTCTACAAGATTATAGAATTTCTAAAAAGCTTCACTTTTGTTTTTAAACTTGTAGATAGAGTTAAGATCTTTTATGATTAACAAATACAAATCATAGTGAAAAAGTTCTTATCCTTGATATCGTAAAATATTTTTGCATTTGAATACTTAAGTCAATTTGTCTCTTAACAAAAGAACCTTTTTCTAGCTGTCCTCTTTCAATTTGAATGATTGTGGCGTTGTCTATAGGTACTACAAAGTGTTTTAATAAAAACTCTAAAAGAACTTCGATTCCAATTCATATTTAATTAAGCTAGCAAATCTTTATTATGACTTTTCTAGAGGCCGCAAGCTTTCGGAACAGTCATATTTTCGAATTTGGATTTAAAATTTTTCTCATAGTGAGTACTCAACCAGACAGATTTTCATTAAAAACAAAATAATCAGAAATTTTGAACAAAGTCTCTTCAAGATAAGAACTTTTTTCGTCGATAGTGTGTATACACGATACAGTTTCTGAAAGATTGAAAACTCAAAGAATCTTTGTTCAAAACTTTTGAATTGTTTTCATGTAAGCTCGTCTAGTTGAGTTCTCTATGTGCACAAAATTTAAGATTCAAATTCAAAACTACGAATTTTTTAAAAATCTTGAAACTCTAGAAAATAGACATATTAAAAATTCAATAGCTTAAAGAAATATCCATGGGAACCCAAATCCTTTTCGGGTTATTATTATTATTAGAACACAATACATAGTATATATAGGTGAAATATCATTCAAATCGACAGGGAGGTATCTGAAAAAGGTTTCCATATAGAATTTCATATATATTTTCTTTTAATTTTATACAAATATTTCTTTTCCTAAGTAGTTTCAAAATTTAAAATAATCTCAGATTTAATTATTAGAAATAGCAAATTCAGATTAGATATATTTCAAAAATTTCTTTAAAATAAACTACATTAAATTTGTATTCAAACATATAAAATAATAATATTTATTGAAGTTTGTGTAGTTTTATAATCTGACTGTTGCTTATCAATTATACGATTATCTCGTACAAAAAGTAGTCTGAAAGATTTGAGCTCACTAGTCTTAACTATATAGAAAACAATTTTGTATATTTGAATATAAATTTTATAGTCAACTAAAGCTATTTCAAAAATCAACTTCAATCCATCCTATTCAAGTTATAAAACAAAAAAAGATTCTCAACCGAAACTAATCTATCAACATAGATTTCATTACACAATCTAGCAAGTCTATAATACTATGAACGCTGAGAGGACTCGATAATGGATGATAAGTCTTAAGTAGAGAGAAAAAAAAAACTAACTATAACCGACGAGGGAAAATTTTCATTAGTATCAGTATCCATATATGATTTATTTATGGTAAAGATGGGTAAACCTAAATGTCTAAAAACAAATGATATGATTCTTAATTAAGAATCAAATTATGAAAAAAATTTTTCATCATAAACAAAAGACAGTTACACATATAATCAATCTGAATAATCCTTTGTCACAATAATGAATTTTCATTAAATAAGACAAATACAATAGAAATTTGACGTTAAACGTAGCACAATTTTTCTTTTGTTTGGTTTTTGTGACTTCAACGTTTTCGTTTTTTCTACTCGAGAGATAGAAAGAACAGTTAAAGAAAACAATCAATGAAGAACTTGATCATGGCAAAATATAACATGAAAAGAAGAAACAAAAAAAAAAGAGAACATGAACACGAGAAAAACAAAAAAAGAAAACATTCTAATAACGCTAAAATACAATGTGTTGATGAGGTTGAACAAGATAGAAAAACGAACGAAAAAAAGAAACGAAATTCTTATTTAAACAATAGTAGTTAAACCACAACAACCGGATAGAAGAAACAAAAGAAGAAGAAAAAAAACAAGACGCGCGATTTTATAACGACGACATACCATTTTAATTTTAATATCATGATCATCGAAAGCCATATAAAGTATCTATCACAAATTCTACATTCAAAAGAAAAAAACAAAACATTTTTTTGATTTTTCACAATATCAATTCTATTACTTTACCACAACACAGTCAAATATGATTTACATCATATCTCTAGAAAAACAAGAAAGAATTTTTATATACAATACAATCAATTTATTTAATATACCATATGATATTTCTAATCAATCATTTACATGCGCATTAATGGCCATGGTGGTGGTGGTGGTGGTGGTTCTAATGATTGTTGTTGATGAAACATGGGACGTGTTTGATGTACTATATTATTACTCATTCGATTACGTAGATTATTTTCATGAATCTAAAAAAAAAATATATATGTACACTAGAGATCTGCATCGCGATCACGGTCATAACCAAAAGAAAAGATTTTCGCAACAGAATAGAATAACTTCGAATAGAGAAAAATGTTATACATTGATCATGACCAATGTACAGTATGTTTCTTCGTCGAAGATTATTGTATATTTAATGTTCAAATCAAGTTTTACTCAAGAAATGGAACCAGACCAGTCGGTCTGACATTAGCCTGATCAGTTGTTGTACTATTCTATATGTGAATAGGGACACAAAGACCAAAACTAATAATAAAACATCAATGATGATCGGTTTCTCTGCGGGTTGATCATTCTAAAACCTGTATTGAACTAATCGGTTCCATCTTTGAGTTATTCTTCTAGTTTTTTTTTTAGGAAAGGATGTTGTGAAAAACATTTCTTTTTTTTTGTTTTGGGTAACGACCGTAGTCGCAATGCAAATGGCTAATAATAAACTGATGAGATATTTACATTTAAATGATGAATTCGAACGAGTTGTTCCGATGCTGTATATGAACAACCAGGAACATTACACTAAGAAAATATATCAGCAAATAAAAGAAACTTAATCAAATGTCTTACTGGAATATGACTTCGTAAATGATCTTGATAAGCAACTTGATGAGGAAAGCCAAGTGCACATGTAGCACACCAAAATGGATGAAAACCACGTTGTTGTTCATTATTATTTGGCCAATGTGATGAAATTGATTCCAATGAAGTTGGTGATGTCAATGAAAATTTTGGATTAACTTTCATAAGTGGTGGTGCACTTATTAATGATGGTGATGTAGTATTAGCAAGTAATGGCATAATTCCATTATTATTATTTGATGATGATGATGATGATGAAAATGAAAATGATCGATTAGGTTGTTGTTGTTGTTGTTGTTGTTTATTTTTATTATTTGAAGATGAAAAACATCGTTCATTTGTTTGTAATGGTGGTAAATTACGTCGATTACCTTGCATAAATGCTAATGAAGAATTATAAGGTTGAGAATCTGTTGTTGTTGATTGTAATGATGGAATTCGTAATAGTTGATTATTATTATTTAATCTAGATGATGAATACATTAGATTATTATTAAATGAAATAGGAGGTTGAGAATGAAATAATGATGATGATGTTAAATGAGATTGTATTTGATATTCTTCTGGTGGAAATATTTTTTGATTATCATTATTACCAAATAATTTTTTAAGAATATCTTGTACTTCAGATGGATTTGATAGAAGTTCTTGAACTTGTTCTATAGGTGGTACTGAAATTGATGGTGATATTATTGAATTTATATTTGGTAATGGTGGTGGTGGTAGTGGTGGTGGAAGTGGTGGTGGAGGTGGATATGAAAAATAACATGTATTTTGATAATCATTCTAAATTAAACAAATAGTTTAGTTTTCTATTTATATTTAATTTTTTTTGTAACGTACCGACTGTTCTGATTCTGTAGGTGATATTTTATTATTATTATTACTATTTTGTGAATCTTCATTTAATAATGATGTTAATGTATGAAAATCATTTGAAGATGAAATTTTTAATTTTTCATTATCAATACAATTTGTATTAGTAATAACAGCTGCAGCTGCAGCAGCAGCAGCAGCACGTTTTCGTTTATTTGATAATTTTTCATGAATAATACCAAGTAAATGTTGTGCATGACGAGTATCACCTTGTTGTGTTAATTTCATTGCACGTTCAATCATTTGTTTAATAAGAATATCTTCATCACTTTCAGGTTCTATTAATGTTTTATTTTCATCATTTGATATATTAATTGAATTATATTGTTGTTGAGGAGTATTTGATGTTGATGAACTACTTGTATTTGATAATGTTGGTGAAAGAAGTGTAGATGATGAATATATTGTACTATTTGTAATACTTATTTCATCAACACATTGATCAGCTGGTGTTGATGATGATGAATTAAGACGTTTACCAACATTTACAGCTGCCTATAAAATAGAATATGATTTAAAAAAAACAATGAATACTCTTGCAATCGATTTTATCTATGTATATAATTAGTTATGCGTAAAAATGGTATCGATTCATACATAAAACTTTCCTCCAACATATATGATCATTAAAATGATTCAACAAGGTTTATTTTCTAATGTTGTAAGCGCTAGAAACAATGCAAAAATAGTAATTCAAATAGAGAAAACAAATTTTCAAAGACAACGACACCAGATATAAACAGGTTAATTTTTCAGTACCTAGAACGATAAAAAAATATAATTTTGTTTAGATCTACAGTAACGTTTCGGAAGCTTCTATAATCGTTCTTTTTTTCAATTTCTGATACAAAAAAAACAAACAATATTTGACCTTCAATTAAATTATTGTTTTTCAACTAAAAATCTAGAAGATATATAATTTTGTAGAGAATCCGTTTACTCTATCGTTCTATGTAGTCTAAATAAAATTATATTTTAATCATTTCAAGTATTAAAAATCTAGTCTTTTGGTTCTGTTGAATCCGTGTCTTTGAAAATTGGATAATTGAATCATTATTTGTATTGTTTCTAACAATTACAGAAACCTTATTGAATAATTTTGCTATTTACTATATATTAAATTCGATAGATATTTGTATCATTTGTTCATTTTATCGGAAATTCATAAACAATATATTCGTCTTATTATGAAATATAAGACTTCATATTAATCAAAAGAATTTTTATTATAAAAATCTATTTAAGATCTTTGTTATAAAACAATGCTAACCTGTGCCATAGCACAAATAATTTGTTGTGTTGTTGGATCTAAATTAGGTTTAGCAAGTAATTGTCGAGCTGTTTCAGCAAATTCTTTTGCTTTAGGACCAACATTTGATAAAAATTCAGGATTTTCAATAAGTTGTAATAAAATTTTTGATGGAGATTGTGAACTATTTGATGATAATCGTTGTCTTTTAACTGGTGGTGATTGTAAAGCAGCTTCATCATCATCAATTTTACTATTATTAAATGATAATATCGATGGTACACATTGTTTTGTTTCATTTTGTTTATTACATGAATGACGACGACAATGATGATTATGTTTATTAGATGATTGTAATTCATCTTCATCAACATCATAAAATGATTTTTTATGACGATGTTTTCCCATAATACTACATTGAAAGAAAAAAAAAAAACAATCAATCTAAAAAATAAAAATAAAAACGATTTAAATTTTCTTTCTTTTTGTTTTTTGATTATCGATATTTGTTTATTATTTTTCTTTTTCAATAGTTTCGTCATATGCTACTTCATATAAGACTGCCATTTTCAATAAGTATTGATTCTCCAATCGGCTAATTGATTTTTTTTTTATGATTTGAAATATTTTAATTTAATTATTATTATATAAATGATATTTATTTATTTTCATGTTATTGATAAATAGAATTTTAATTAATATAATTGTCGCTAGTATCGAGTATAATGATTCAATTGGATAATTCAATACTCATGGCTAAGAAATTTATAACATTGAGCTTTCGATTAACAAACCACACAAATTTTGTTTTTTACATTTGAGAATATAGATCTTATGTATATTAGACTCTTTTTTCTTCTTAAAACAAATATCATTTCAAATCTGACTGTTCCGTATTTTTATCATGGATGAGTTTAACGACAAGAATGGTTTTATGAGCCTTGAATAATAAATGTATGAAAAACAAATACATCGACTTGATGTTTTTATTATAAGCATCATGAAGTTTTATTATCAATATTTCGACTAAAACTATAAACTGTCTCTATCCTAGAAAATTTAATTCAAATTAAATGAAAATTTATAGAGATGAATTAACTTCAATCTGGCTGTATGTTAAATGCTCGATTGTGTTTCTAAAGTTGATGGCATATGAACATATTCATTGATAAGGATAACATTTTGAAGTTTAGATTATTTCATTGTTTATTAAAGAAGGTCGTATTGTTACTGTCGTTAAGAAATGGAAAAGTCATATGGTACTCTGTTATAATAGATGCAACTGTTGCCCAAACATTACATTCAGCTGTTACATAATCTTTCACATGTGACTAGCTGAGTCGAATTCGAACAATATCGATTGAGTACCACCGGAACCCTTAAAAACGTGGAAAACTACACGTTCATTGCAGATATGTTCTAAATATCTTTTCGAAAAGTAGAAATTTCTGTTTTTTTTTTTTTATTTTCGACTGTGTGTCAACTGTTTCAATCAGTGCTTCTACAGATAGTTCCATACTTATACTATCTGATACTTTTAAAATTTAAAGTTAATGTGACAACTTGTATATCAAGATCTTTAATAGTTATTAATCGAGAAAGATTGCAACACACATGTATGTCAAGAGCGATATCCAACATTGTCTACGAATGAAACTGTTTCCTCAAAACATAATTTTATAGAATATGAATAAAAATTATAGCTATAATTATTTCTATAGAAAACTAGTTCATATTATAAAAGAAAAAACATGATTAAATTTCTTCAAATCCTTTTTCGAAGTATGTCCGATGAGCAAATGACTAAGATAGACTTTAATAATTATTTTTTTTTGTTCAGCAGTTTTTGGTTATGTTTGTAATAAGGTTCAAAATAATGTTTACCACCACAGTTGATTGTTATACTAAAAAGAATCTTGTAACATTTTAACTATCTTCTTCTAAAAAACAAATAGTCAATAGAAACAATGCTTGCTGGTAAACTATACTTTCAAACATTTTGTTAAAGTCTTTGTTTACCAATGAAAACTCAACTGAAACTATCCCAAAACTACTATTTTTAATGTCAATATAATCATATCGTTCGTCTTATAATCAATCAAAGAAAAAGTCATTACAAAGATTGAAAATGAAGAAAATTGTGAGTGTTTTTCTCTATTGTATAAACTAAACAATATAGAAACGTAACAAGAATTAGTTTGGAGATGAAACAACTACTTTTATTGACGCTTTTAATGATATTTATACTAATTCAATGACTGATGGATGAAAAACTACCGATATGTCATTCAATGTCACAGAAATTTAATCAACTAATTAGCTCGAAGCATTGTGACAGGTGCTGATGTGAACGCAGAACTAAGCAAAAAGTAGAAAGAACAAGAAAAACAATGAGACAGCTGTACTTCGGTGAGTAGGGGGGTCTACCATTTAATAATAAGATTCTTGATGGCTATGACATGTTATCCAGATAATCAATAGACATTTTGATAGAGTATTCAAAACTGTGAACTACCATAAAGCATAGAAAACTTTGCAAAAATCAATATTTATTTTTAATTGCTTAAATTTCTATAAAAATAATGAAGTTTTTACATAAAAAAAAAATAAAACAAGATAGAAAGAAACAAAACTTGCTATTTTGATAAAACAATTCAACGACAAGAGTCTAATAAGTTCTATTACTTCAATGACGGATCTAGAACGTTGGTGAATGAGAGCGATTATAAACACTAAAAATGGTTTTTAAAGTCAAATTAGAGATCGTAGTATTTCATTTTTGATCGTGTTCAACTGAAAAAAATCAAAAGATAGTTTGGACGAAAGGAAGTTGTTACTCCTCAGTACTCCCCTCTAAATCCACTACTGTGTTACCTATCGTATCTAGAGTTTATACTTCATAAGAGAAAATAAGAAGGGATCGTTTCATCCCATCTCATGGGATGGGATGGCATTTTCCTATCCCACATGAAGTCCTGACACATATTTTATTAATTGCATTTGTTAGGTCGATAGGGCCTATCATTTATTTATTTGAAATATATTTTTTTGAGTTTGACACGTATGTAACTAACAAACAAATTATGTTTTAAAAAATTCATTCTTAGTGTACATCGTTCGACATGAAAGAGTTTAAATATCAGATTTTTTGCACTGTATGAGGTATTCTGATGAGAGTTTTTATTTTTATTTTTATTTTTTTGAGTGTTACAAACATAAAATAATAGACATATAATAAACTCATTATTGAATATAATTCCCTATTGATTCCTCTTCAATTGCTAAGAAATGAGAAATGAAAGATTTCATTTTGAAACTATGCATTAAACATATACATGTCGCCTACATTATATGGAGGCACAATCTTTCTTTTTATTGGCGCAATAACTACGATGTGAATACGAATGTCTGTTTTATTCGAAAATAATACTACCTGAAGATTCGAGTGAAGACAAGGTCTTATCTAGTGAATGGATTCTATTACACTAAGGATCAAATAGCTTTATGACTAAAAATTAGCTTTTATATGCATATCTTTTCCTTCTTCAGTGATTCATTGTCACATTCATCTGTTACAGATATTTTACATTAAAACAAAGAATTTTTTTTGCACATTGTTGTAAATTAAGTGAATTTATTTTTTTTTTGCATAAGCCTATGTGTTTCATGTACATTAATTCAAAAGAAAGTTACTCTTTTTTGCTGTACTTATTGATGCTAAGGGTCATATTATTATCTATAAGAGAAAACAATCATTTGAAAAGAAAGAAAAAAAAAGAAAATTTTTTGCGACCAAGTTTTTTTTTTCTCCATTGTGTGATATGAGAATCGTACCGTCTGTTGTTCGTTAATCTTTTTTTTTTTGCTTCTCCGACTTTGCATACACCTGCATTAACTTTATTCAAGAATATTCATTTTTTTTTGTGTTAAGATCATCATGTATATAAGTCATCATTGGCTTTCTTTCCTAATAATATTAATCTATTCGTTGTGCAGTCATTGTCAACGTTCATCACCATTAAAAGTTGAAAAAGATACAGCTGTTTATACATTACTTGAAAAATATCATCATTATAGTGAATTAGATCGACTTTTACTACAATGGGAAAAGAATTATACAAAAATTGCTCAAGTATTTAATATTGGTAAAAGTGTTACTGGTCGAAATTTATTTGTTGTACATCTTACATCTCCACTTATAAGTGATATTGAAAAAGAACAAGATGAAAAAGAATTATTAAAACCAAAATTTAAATATGTTGCAAATATGCATGGTGATGAAGCTATTGGTCGTGAAATGATGATAGCATTAATCTATTATTTATTATTAAATTCAAAATCAGATACACGTATTAATCGTTTATTATCAACAACAGATATTTATATCATGCCTACAATGAATCCGGTAAATAACAAACCGAACAAAAAAAAAAACAACAAATTTTTAATTGTATTTTTTTGTTTTGTTTTTAAAACATAGGATGGTTTTGAAAGTTCAACTGAAGGTTTATGTGATAGTCGTAAACTTCGTGGTCGAGGTAATGCAAATGATATTGATCTTAATCGAGATTTTCCATCACAATTTCAACCACTTAAAAAATCAAACAATGGTACTATTTCGGATATTTTTTATGATCGACAACCAGAAACAATTGCTCTTATGAAATGGATATTAAAAGAAAATTTTGTTCTTAGTGCTAATTTACATGGTGGTTCACTTGTTGCTTCATATCCATATGATGAAACAATTCATCATACTCCTCATACATATGGACAATCACCAGATGATTCATTATTTCGATATTTAGCACGAACTTATGCTGATAAACATTTAACAATGGCTAAAGGTATTTCAGAAAAAAAAAATATATATATATCTATATATATTCTTTTTCTTTTTGATTGATTGATTAGGTGAAGGATGTGCTGCAGAATTTTCTGGAGGAATAACAAATGGTGCAAATTGGTATGATGTATCAGGTGGTATGCAAGATTTTAATTATTTACATAGTAATGCATTTGAAATAACATTGGAATTAAGTTGTTGTAAATATCCATCACCTCAAGATGGTCTTCTACAAAAAGAATGGGATAATAATAGAGAAGCATTACTTTCATATATAGAAATGGTCAGTAAAAAAACAAAAAAAGAAAATAGAAAGATGATAGATTTATTTTATTTAGAGTCATCTTGGTATAAAAGGTTTTATTCGTGATGCTAAAACACAAACAGGTATTTCAGGTGCATTAATTCAAGTTGAAGGTATTCTTCATCCTGTACGTAGTATTAAATATGGTGTTTATTGGCGTTTATTATTACCGGGTTTACATAATATAACAGTAACAGCATCAGGATATTTATCACAAACAAAATTTAATATCAATGTAACAAATGAAAATTTAACAAGTGTAAGATTTTTATATTTAATTAAATGAAATATATTCAAAAAATAGGATAGAACTGATGAGGGGAATTCAATGAAAAGTTAATTATAAAATGATTAATTAAATAAGAGTTTTATCGAAACAACTACTTAATGCAAAATTATTCATACATAAGACAGAATGATATTCATACTTATGTATGCGTTATGTATTTCAACTAAACATTATTTTACTTTAGTTATTGTATAATTTATTATAGGGCAGATTTAAGAATAGTATTACTTCAAACGATTCTATCGCTTAGTCAGATCATATATTATATACTTTTACATTGCTAAAAGCATAGAAAAGTTGTATATTTTCAATATGCATGTCAATACTTCTTCTCAGCCGAGTTCGTGAGATTTCTGAAGTACATGTAGGATGTACTAGTCATCGGATACAAAAATCTGAGAAAAATTACATTGTATCTTCCGGATAATTACCCTATCCCGATAAGAAAATTTTATTGAATATATCAAAGTATGATTCGAAAATTTCGAATCGATGAGTTCTACTTCTCTTAACAGAAAACTTAATTTTTCTGTACGATCTTTCAAAAAGTTTGTTATCAAGTTTTCTACCCTTGCGAAAAATATAACAAGCATTCATGAATCTACGATCATTTATGAAAAATCATTTACCTTTCTTTTCAGGCTCTTCGTCTTGATTTTAACTTACAACCTTCTATTCAAGATACATCATCATCATCATCATCAATTAAAGATGTTTCATCAATAAATGATGTTTA